ATAAATATATACAAACATACATGCAAACTGAAACATGCATATTTGTAACTGAAACAATGCTTAACCTTACTATGTACAAAGCACTATGATATTTTCAATTCTATTCTACTATGTATTCTAAACACACTGGTTGAGAAAAACAGTGTTTTAAATTCTGACCAGCACAGGAGATTCTGAGGATACATCTTATAATGGCCATTATTCCTTCCTCAGAGCCCCACAGCCAACTTGGGAACGCTGTAATGGAGCATCTGCTCTTGAGGCAAGTGACTTGATCTTGAATACATGGATAAAGGCCACTCAGAAGGCTGTCTCCTCCATGTCTGGCCATCCCTCCCTATGCAAGCTCCTCCTCTTTCTGTCCCTTCAATGATGATTTGTTCCCCCCAACAGCTGTGTTTGATCCTTTTATCACTCTGAGTCTATTTCCATGGCTTTCCCTAATTGAAAGACAGCTGCTCATATACCCCATTCACTCCAATTCTCAGTGCTCATCTACCTCTTATACATTTCCCACTGAATTGTCCCACAGATTTCAAACTCATTAGGTCCAAAATTGTATTTATAATCTCTCTTCCCTATCTCCTCACCCAAACCTATTTCTTTTCCAGCTTTCCTTATCTCAAAGAATGGCACCTCCTCATCTTTTCTGTTTCAAATCAAATCCCTTCTTTAGGAAGCTTTTCCTGAACTCCTTAGATAAACTTGACACCTCCCACTTTTACACCTCCAGTACATTACAGGACCTCTAACATCCCTTATTGAACTTATTTCTTTTCATACTCATCTCTCCTCACTAGATATGAGCTTCTAGATCTGGATTTTATTTATACACGTATGAAGCATATAGTATAATGATAGCATAGAGTAGGCTCTCAATAAATGGTGACTATTATTTTCTAGGGCAACTAGGACCTTAAGATCAGCATACACTAATTAATTGTTCCATAAGTGTCTGCTGAATGAAAATATAACCAGTATGTTCTTGCCATCTATCTGAGGTCAGAGGACTGCTAAAGTATTAACACCAGTACCTTCTAGATTGTTAGGAAGCCAAAAATCTACTTTCATAGTCAAAGAAATGTAATATATATATATATTTTGGCCTGTTGGCCTCTGTGTTAGCTTACTAGGGCTGCCATAACAAACTACCACAGATATGGTGGCTTAAACAATAGAAATTTATTTTCTCACAGTTTTGGAAGCTAGAAGTCTGGGATCAACGTGTCCCCAAGGTTGATTTTTTTCTGAGGCCCTTCTCCTTGGCTTATAGATAGATGGCTATCTTCATGTTCAAATGGCATTCTCCCTGTATATGTGTCTGTGTCCAAATTTCCTCTTCTGACAAATATACCAGACATGTTAGATTACAGCCCACCCTGAAGACCTCACTTTAACCTCATTACCTCTATTAAAGAGCCTTTTTCCAAATACAGTCACATTCTAAAATACTGGAGATTAGGACTTCAATATACGAATTTTGAAGGACACAATTCAAGCCATAACAGCCTCCTATTAGACAGTGAGCTCCTGAAAAGGCAGAAGCTATAGCTTAATCTTCCTTCTTAGTATCTGCTAAGGCTAGCAGAGTACCTGGAACAAAGCAGACTCTCAACAAATAATTTGTGGGATACATAAACTAAGGATCTTCCCAGAAGTACAGTCCAAATCTGTAGATAACTGTCCCCTCCAAATCTGGTGGTCAGCACCAAGAAAAATGTGGCTTTGCTCTTCCCTGAAAGTTTGATGTCATTGTTTCTAGACAGTCCATTGCTGAACAGCTAATTACATGGCACCCAACACATAGCAGAAAAATAAAACTCGTAAGACCAGATATCCAAAACCATTGACAATATCCTTCTCTCCAGATCCATTCCGATACTCCCAGACTGACGGCCGTCATACATAGTTACAGTCAGATTCAAAGTCAAGAGAAAACTACCACTGCTCTGCCTGTGGAACAAGATATAGCAGCTTAGGAGAAATAGTAAAATGGACATCTGCTACTTTTTCCCTATCCACAAGGAAACTTCCCCCTTACTGTTCTGTATGATTTCAGTAAGTTGGTGAGAAAATGTCAAAATACTGGAGTGTGTGGCCATCTCGGACAGCTTTTGGTAACACCCTAGAAATGACTTAGCTACAGCCAAGGTAGCCTGTATGAATGTAGAGAAAATTCTGTCTCACTAAGACTGGGCTTTCTCCTGGTAGGAATGCAAGGCAACAGCAAGTCAGATAATCATGAAAGACTGTGAAATTTGAATTCTTGGCCCCAAGTCAATGATAATGCTAGAAAACACAGAAGAAAGGAAGGAAACATAACAAAAGATAAGATTGGGACCAAGAGAATTGGATGATTGCCTGATCCCCCACTTACGTCTTAATATATTCTCTTTTCCTGGTAAAGAGTGAATCACTGGGATGAAGCCACAGAATGAGGAACAAACTCAGAGGCAAAAATAAGCAAAATTAAGAGCTGAAGGATGGACAGAGCAGCAAAGCTTACTTCTAAGAGAGAAACTCCCAAGCCAGTGCCCCAAGTCCAGGATCAACCCCCAGAGTGAAAAAGGCACACAGACCAGCAGCTTGAGTTAAACTTTAATAATGCCTTGGATAATAAAAACCTATCACTGCTCCAAATCAATCTCCAGGTATCCTAAGCCACAGCACCACCAGAATTTAAACCCCTATTAGGAAAGTCCTACCGAAAATGCTTCTCAAATGTGTCCATGGATTTTGTGAGGGAACAGAAAACAGGTTCAATACTCAGCTAGGTATGTAAGGTAGTGAAGTATATTAACTATTGATACTACGTATGTGTCTGACACTGAAAGGAAAACTCTAATCATGGAACAATAGTGGCTAAATACAATGACCTCTGTAACAATCAAGGCTATCACCAATCTAGCATTCATGTTAAAGTGTATCAGTAACTTTCTACAAAGACACAGGGACCAAAAGACTTAGATGGAAACAACAGAAAAAAAAATAGGAAAAGATTAACTCTGGAAAACAGATTAGGTGGTAGAGATAAACGCAGGAAAAATTATATTCCTTGAATTGTATTAAGAATGGCTTTGAGGCCGGGCGCTGTGGCTCACGCCTGTAATCCTAGCTCTTGGGAGGCCGAGCCGGGCGGATTGCTCAAGGTCAGGAGTTCAAAACCAGCCTGAGCAAGAGCGAGACCCGATCTCTACTAAAAATAGAAAGAAATTAATTGGCCAACTGATATATATATAAAAAAATTAGCCGGGCATGGTGGCTCATGCCTGTAGTCCCAGCTACTCAGGAGGCTGAGGCAGAAGGATTACTCGAGCCCAGGAGTTTGAGGTTGCTGTGAGCTAGGCTGACGCCACGGCACTCACTCTAGCCTGGGCAACAAAGTGAGACTCTGTCTCAAAAAAAAAAAAAAGAATGGCTTTGAGCTGGGCATGGTGGCTCACGCCTATAATCCTAGCACTCTGGGAGGCTGAGGCGGGAGGATTGCTTGAGCTCAGGAGTTCAAGACCAGCCTGAGCAAGAGTGAGACCGTCTCTACTATAAATAGAAAGAAATTAGCCAAACAACTAAAAATAGAAAAAATTAGCCGGGCATGGTGGCAAGTGCCTGTAGTCCCAGCTACTTGGGAGGCAGAGGCAGGAGAATTGCTTGAGCCCAGGAGTTTGAGGTTGCTGTTAGCTAGGCTGACGCCACAGCACTCTAGCCCAGGCAAGAGATTGAGACTCTGTCTCAAAAAAAAAAAGGCTTTGATTTACAAAATCAAATAAGAATATTTATCTCAAACCACCTACACCCTATCAGTTTATTCACCACACTAACTGGGGAGCTGGTTACTCAATGAAGCCATTTCAAAAGGAGCTGCTGGGTGGAAACCTGAGTGCTGCGTGCCTTCCCCTGTGAGAAGCGACTCCTCTGCGGCAGTACACCAGGCTGAATGGCGGTACCTACAGCGGCGGCTCCTAGAGAGGGCCCTCCAGGAGCAGCACTGCTATGAGGCATCCTTTTCTTATACCTTCTATGGAACAGTCTCCCACAAGTAATATAACCTACACTGCATTTCTATTAAATGGCACAGAGTCACAAAGGACCAGAGAAAAATTTCTAATTCCATGTGGCTGAGATCTGCCACTTACTTGCTGAGAGAAAATGTAATTTCCCAGACCCAGTGTATCCTCCCAACCTGAGAAAGCAGCCTTAGAGCCCAACGGGAAGGAATATTTAGGTTCTGTGGGCAAAGGAAAGAACACAGGGTAGGTGGGGCCATGATGAGCAAGGGCAAGCCTGGGATGATTCTGCCAGAGATATTTTAACACTGATGAACACGAGGCTTTCGTTGGCTTATTAAAATAGCGCTGTGTAGTGAGAGAGAAGCTGGCACATTTTCCCATAGATGAGATGCCCCTGAGGGTTTGAACAACAGTTGGAATACAGCTGCCATGGCTACGACCAAGCAAGTACAGATGTCACACTAAAGTGCAAAGAATTTCATACCATCCCATGGTGCTAAATTCAAAATGCCAAAGGGAAAAAGTACTGGTGAAAGAGTTCTTTAAAATAGACTAGATAACAATTTTAAATACCAATTCTATGTGTAACTAAAATTTTTGCTGCTGAGGTCTATAAGCAACAGTTACTACAGTTTAAAGAGCTCAATCAAAAATCTTACTGCTCAGCAAAAGGAAAACAATACAATGTGCTATTCTCAGAGACTGGAAGAGCCACATCAAATTCAGTCACTAGACATTAGACTTCATAATCCCAAATGTATGGAAAATGTCCTTTTACAAAACATTTTTCTTTTTTCCTCCTTTAATAGTTTTCTTTCCTTATAAATAGAGCTGTATATCATTTACTATGTTCTTAACCAACATGTTAGATAAGAAGATAGACTAAAAGCACATGCCACCACATCACGGTACTCATTTCCTTTAGAAAGATAAACAGGGAAAAGGGAACATTATACATACACACACACACACACACACACACACCCCACTTACCAAATTCCTTCTTAGGTTCTATTAACTTCAAGGTAAAGAGTTCCTCTTTTTTCAATTCCTTTAACTTCTTAGCAACCTCATAGTGACGCTGTCCAACAACACTTTCTCCATTTATAGATTCAATATGATCCCCAACACAAATGGTTTTAACTGAGTCAATGATGCCACCATCTTTAATTCTCTGAAAGAAAATTAATGATAAGATAATGCAAAAAAAAATTGTATAACATTACTTTTCATGCTTTTGAGGCATTATATAAAATGTACTGACCTACTAACAATGCAGTTTACTGCTCCCTTAGAGATGGAAGATGAAACCACCAAGGACCGCCATCTTACCTCCATCCATTCTTCATCTTCCTTATCATTCAGAATTCAGCTCTGTCACAGTCAGCACCCCCTCTGGGACACTTTTCCTGACAATCCCCAACCCACTCCCCTCCCCCCAAATGGGCAAGGTGCTTTTCTCATGCTTTTACAGTGTCTTTTGCTATATACGCTGAACAATGAGCTAAGCACTTTTCATTCACTGTTTCATTTAATTCTACCAACCTTTATGAGACTCTCATATCATAGATCTGGAAAACTGAGGCGTGGGAAGATCAAGTAATTTTCCAGATTCAACATGGCATAGTGCAACTGTTCATTTACTCCTCAGTCTCCATTACTAAGCTACAATCCATGGGGACAGAGATGGTCTTATCACCACTGTATGTCCTCTGCCTAGCACAATGCCTGCACAGAAAAGTCCCTCCATAAATGATTGTTGAAACATTTCAACATGAAGCCCACTACATAAGAATAGTGTGAGCTTTTTCTACATTTAATTACAAATGCAAAGACTCAAAGAATGGCATGATCTTAGCGTAGAAGACCCGTACCTAATAAGAGACAAATATGGTTACCATTTCAGAAGTCAGTAAGGGTGATTTTATATTACTGCTTTTCATTTGTGTATTTTTCTTTTTTTTTGTTTGAGACACAGTCTCACTCTGTTGCCCAGGCGAGAGTGCCGTGTTGTCAGTCTAGCTCACAGCAACCTCAAACTCCTGGGCTCAGGTGATCCTCCTGCCTCAGCCTCCCAGGTAGCTGGGACTACAGGCATAAGCCACCATACCTGGCTAGTTTTTTCTATATATATTTTTAGTTGTCCAGCTAATTTCTTTCTATTTTTTTAGTAGAGACGGTGGTCTTGCTCTTGCTCAGGCTGGTCTTGAATCCCTGAGCTCAAACAATCCACCTGCCTCTGCCTCCCAGAGTGCTAGGATTACAGGCGTGAGCCACCACACCTGGCCTCATTTATGTATTTTAAACGAGGAGAACATAGAACCCAAGGAGGAACTTCAAGTTGTTCTTTCTTAAACCTATCTTACGTCTCTATAATACATCTATAGTGTAGAGTCTCAAAATAAGATCTAAGATCCCTAAGACGGCACCAAGAATTTCTGTAAGGCTTTTCAGAAGACAGCTCCAGAAAACTCTACAGGTGTAACAGCCCTGCAAAGGATGTACATAGTTCTTCCACAGTAAGAAGGAGAAGGGCAAAATGAAGGTCACAATCTGCCTCAAGAGTCATAAATCCGTCATGGGAATGATAGGATAGAAATTTTAGGAGTGGCTGTGATTATGTAATAAAAGCATGTGTATTTCCCACCCTTGCCAGGTGGAAGTATAAGGTTTTCTGAATCAGCAGGGTGATTGATCATTGGGTCCAAGAGCAAAAAGAAAACTAATCTCCTGTACCCCCAGCATCTTCATAATATTATCATCCAGGAAAAAAGAGGGGGAAAAAAAAGCTGGAAAGGACTAACCTGGCAAGGTTGAGTATTTTTAATCTTTAAATTGTATTACTATATACCAAAACTCACAATAGATTTCTTTTTTACCCCTAAATTTTAAGACTATTGCTATGTTCATTGTGGCAAAGGTTACTTTGTACCAAGTGTTAACATACTATATACAAATGATACAATAATGTCGATTTAAACAGAGCTCATTATTTATCATTACAAACAGTTAATTACAAAGCAAAGAACCCAGAAATTTCATAATCTACTTGACATTGTTTTATTAGAAACCCACACTAGCTTTATATAGTGAACAGAAACAAACAATGGTAACCACAACACACCACTCAGTACAACTAGAGTTTCTAAACTGTTGTAGAAAAATAAACAAAGTTAAACAAATGACTAGAGTCTACAGAAGAAAAAAACACTATTAAATATTCTGTTATATAACCATTCCTAAGCCATTAGAGAATTTGAAAATCTATATTTAACTGACTTTTTTTATTTTTAGAATTTTTATTCTAACTTATTTCTTGGTACATCTTGTGCCTATTTTTTTCCTTTGATCAACTATGCCATATAAATTTCAGTGTCTCACTACATATCATTTTTAGTTTTTAAAGACTTATTATAATTTTATTAAAAATAAGCATTTTATAAAAATTAAGTGAAAGACTTTAAAGACACATATGAATCTTACCGGTGAATTACAGGTCAGAGTGACAGAAATCTAGGGTTGCCCAGGTCTACAAGTAGCCACAAAGGTCAGGAGAGAGAGGAAAGGCAGTCACCAGAAGTCAGAGCACACATCAGGGTACGAATCCAGGTGGCCAAGAGAAAAGTCAAAGCATATGTAATTAACAGAAGCAGCAGATAAGGATCTGGGATGAAGAGACAGGAAAACCAATATAAGAAACTTGGAGATAAAAACCAGAAGATGAACTAGACTTAGAAGCAAAATTGGAGACATCAATTAGATATTTTATGGGTTATGTGAGACTTCTAGGTGAACAGAATAAAGAATGAGGTAGCAGTGGAGACAAGTTTCTGAAATCTAATTTACATTAATAATCATATAACTTGATAATAATATTGCTAAAAGTGCTACTCAGACCCAAAGGACTAAGAGGAAAAAAAGAGAAGTAAGTATAGCATTAATGCTATACTTATATTTCCTGATTAACTTATACTATTCTCCATAACACTTAGGAACTTTCTCTCATCTAGTTTTGGAGTTTGATGCTGCAAAAGGCAGATAAGACTTTTTTTTTTTTTTTTTGGAAGATAGGATTTACAACATTATTACACATAGAGGTTTCCAAACGTTTTAGATTATTATAATGTCTTCCATTATATTCATATCATATTTCAGAGAATTCTGCCCTATCATCACAGTATCTGCAGAGCTCCAGGGTGGCATCCTACTCTCCCCAAAATCTTAAGCAGCAGGCTAAAGGTTGTTTGAGCTGCATTTCCCACCACCACACTCAGCAACTTTGATCTTGCTTATAATAATAAACATTCATAAAACAATTATAAATAGTTATCTCATTTAGTCCTCACAATAAAACTAGGAAAGGAATATTTGTTATTCCATTTAATGAATGAAGAAATCAAAGCACAATGATTACATGGCTTGGCCCAGATAATAACTAAAGAGAACTGGGTATCAAATAGAGGTGGTATAATTATAAAAATTAAAAAATTGTAAAAGAAAAAAAAATCAGATGTAGAATCCAAGGTTTTCTGACCACAAGTGCTGAGTTTGGGGTTATAAATGTCCAAAATGATCTATCACCTTTGAACTCTGAAATTTTTTTTGACAAAACCTATCTTTTCACTTTCATCTCCTTACTTCTACTAAAGCTGTTTCTTATCAATATCATGGCCTCCAGATCTCATATATCACCTATTTTCTCAAATCATCACTTTTATTCTGGCTTTATAGGCCTCTGCTCCGACCTTAGCTTCCATCCTAGAATCCTCTATCACCTACATTTCCAGGCTTGCTGATTCTTAGTTTGGGTAACTGAATAAGCAAAATATTAGAAATATATGAATACCATATTTATCTGAATAATGATCACTCTAGAATGTGACAAATTTGGTTCCACTAAAGTAAAAGTATGCCAAATCATAAAGATCTACAAGAGGTATTCTGAGAATGACTGTTTTGAGGTTAATCATAAACTATTTCAATTCAAAATGAAATCAATTTTTTTTTAATGTAACCTAATTTCTACTTCTGTTTCTTTTTTTTTCAAGACAGAGTCTCACTCTGTCACCCTGGATAGAGTGCAGTGGCATCATTGTAGCTCCTACAACCTCAAACTCCTGGCCTCAAGAGATCCTCTTGCTTCAGCCTCCCTCCCAAGTAGCTGGGACTACAGGCACACATCACTATGCCCAGCTAATTTTTCTATTTTTAGTAGAGACATGGTCTTGCTATTGCTCTTGCTTAGGCTGATCTCGAATTCCTAAATTCAAGCAATCCTGACTCAGCCTCCCAGACCCTATCAACACAAAACATTTTAAAAAATTAGCCAGGCACAATGGCACATGCCTGTAATCCCAGCCACTCGAGAGGCTGAGGCAAGAGGATCACTGAGGCAAGAGGAGCCCAGGAGTTTGAGGTTACGGTGAGCTGTGATTAGGCCACTACACTCTACTTTGGGTAACAGAGGGAGACCCTGTCTCAAAATAAGTAAAAAATAAAATCACAAATGTTTAAGTCTGTTGTCTTTCACCTGAAAAGTTTCATCTGCGAGAACAATGTAGAACTATAAAATGCATTTTTCTGCCATCGATCTCTCTCCCAATTATGTTATGATTATTGCTATCATTATTAAAGTATTAGCTATCAATTATGAGCACTGTCAGGCATTTTATATGCGCCATTATATTTATACCCAAAATAATCCTATAAAATAGGTGCTAATATTCTCACTTGAGAGAAGGCTCAGAAAGGTTTAATGCCTTGCCCAAGGTCACACAGCTGGTAAATAAGTGGTTTGACCGACACTGACTGCAGCTCTTGTTCCTATGCATCCCACTGCACCACCTCCCTAATCACAAAATCCTCCCCGTGGTCTGAATCCCCATCACACTGCCCTACTCTGACTTCCATCTACTCTTACTGCCAGCCACTGTTTAAAGCATATCAAAGCCGGGCGTGATGGCTCATGCCTGTAATCCTAGCACTCTGGGAGGCCAAGGTGGGTGGATTGCTCAAGGTCAGGAGTTCAAGGCCAGCCTGAGCAAGAGCGAGACCCCATCTCTACTAAAAAATAGAAAGAAATTAATTGGTCAACTAAAAATATATAGAAAAACTTAGCCGGGCATGGTGGCGCATGCCTGTAGTCCCAGCTACTTGGGAGGCTGAGGCAGAAGG